AGCACTGGGCCTCTTCAGATCAAGCATTTATTTTAAAAAGCTTCTTCATTTTGTTAAGCTGTCTAGAACAATAAGCAGTCTTTAAAAAATAAGTCTAATAAATTGAACATTCTATAGGCTTTTATAGTTATTGACTTACCTCCATGCAGCAAACACCCTGATTAGCACAAGAAAAAAAAATCTGCCTCCCAGCAATTTGCCTCCTGGAGCAAACAGCAAGTTTCACTTTCAGTTTCTCCCGATGATCATCAGCTGTTTTAGGCTGCAGGGATTGCTATAGCCTATTGCAGCCTCCACAAGCCCCTGTTAGCTGCAAGGAGGTAAATTCCTGGAAGGCAGAGGCCAAAGGGTTGGGGCCGGGTGAGTGGGTGGGTCTACATTCAGTGTATAAGATGCACCCAAGTTTTCACCCTCTTTTTTGGGGAGGAAGGTGCATCTTATATTCTGAAAAATATGGTATTTCTCTTTATACTAAAGTGAATAATTGGTAAAGGGCCAGCAGGATGGGGTGATGAGTTTACTTTCCACTGATCAGATACTGAATGATTCTGAATGCTTGAGCTGATTGAACAATTTCATAAAGTGCATGGGACACATCTTGTGGTAATGAGTGTGAAAGCTTATGTCATTTTAATAAAGCATTTTATTATACATTACCTGATTAATTTGATTTAGTAATAGATGTGAGAGCCGGGAATACAGACATCTGAAGCTCCTGCTCTGTTGCACTGGATTATACACCAGGTCTCGCTGTTTCAGCAGAGTAAGGAAGATATTCAAGAGATGATTCACACCCTGGTCAGGGTCTCTTCACACTTCTACCATTGGGCAGAAGAGATCAAAGCAATCATGTGATTGCACCAGTGAGGCTAAAACCAATTCCATTGTATTTATTTTGTACAATGACAATAAAGGCTATGCTAATTCAAAAGATGGGATAAATTAGAAATTCATTACTCAAGATAGTAGGGAGCAAATACAATAAAAACAGTGAATTATTTGATAACATACTTTGTCACTAATTTAGTTTCTAATGAAAAATTAATTCTTTTCTTGGGATTTGTTTTAATATTCCTTTGCTGATATGGTTCATTTCCTATAAAATGCCAATTTTATGAATATTTCTCCATGTTAAGACTATGGCAAAAGTGGCCATCAGCATGCTACCTGATACAAAAAAGAATTTTGCTGATGTAATGTAGCATAAATTGTATCTAAGTTAGTGAACTGAATTTATTTCAATTGGTCTCTTCTAAGCTTAACTATATCCAGATCAAAGTAGACAGGAACAACAACAAATTATTGCAATATTTATGTAAGAGGAAGATAGTGAAAATAGTACATAGGCAGTCCCTCTGTTGTTGAAAAATACCTATTTGAGAAATATGTCATATATTATTAAAGGCTGAAATACAATCTTTTTCTAACTTTAAGAAGAAACCATGGATTTCTGTGTTTCAGTCTTCCTCAACCTAGATCGTTCCAATTATGCTGGCAAAGAATTATGGGAAATGATTGAAATGTTTGAAAAGCACCAGCTGGGAAAACCCTTATCAAAATCAGGGGATATACAAAATGCACTTTGTTTTACATTTGTTATATACAGCATTGTGTTTTACACAAACAAAGCAACTGTATTTCTCTCCCAGACTTGTTTATTAGTTTAACAATAAAGGAAAAGGCACAACTATAATAGCAAAGGAGTCTACCGTATCTTTCCATGATGGAAAGCTTTCTGAGCAAAATATCAAGGTGATTCTTTGTTATGCTTTTTAAATACTTTTTGTCCTTTCTTTTTGTGTCATCTTATGCATTATTGATTTTCCATTGAAATCTTGGAAACATTAGCCATGTACTTGGAATATTCTACTGCTACTACTTTTGAAGGGCTCCCTCAAATGCACTAGAAATAAAATAGTTCTAACCAAATGGACATTAGAGGATTACTTTAGAGGACAGAGGAGAAGAATTTAGGACACATTCTGCGCATGTGCAAGTTGTGAATGGTCGTCAGCCTTCTTCCTCCGGCTAGGTAGGCAGAAAAAATGCTGAAAATACTACCGTTTTAGCTACGAGTCCATGCGGGAAGGGGTCCCAGTGGTGGAGTGTGACCCAGGGGACCCGAGCTCCCAGCCCACGCGGTCGCCCTCAGCAGTTCTCATTTTATCTGGCGGCGAAGATGGCGTCGTCGTGCTGACGGCACCGTTCCTGGCAGTCTCCAACAACTCCAGCATCCTTTGGTCTCATTCTCTTGACCTGGAAGAGCCTTGGACTGCATTAGATACCATCGTGCCAGAGAGGGGGTGGCTGGTCCGGGATGGCGCTGAACAAGATAGGGCGGCTGGTTTTGTTGCTGCCGCCGCGGCCCTCCCAAGTGCCCCCCCTCATCGTTCCATCAGCTTGCGACAGTCCTGGCCGCTTTTGCCCTTGTTTTCACAACTCCGAGGAGCCCTTGGAGTTACAACAGTTGGTCATCATTCCAGAGAGTGGGGTGGTTGATTTGCTACGGCGCTGGACGGAAGCAGGCAGCTGGCTTTGTTTGTCATCATCGCAACCCTTTCGCCCCCCCCCCCGTTCCATTCGACCGGGCCTTCTTTACAGTGTGGCCTCTCCTCCACTTTATCCTTGCAGCTGCGGGGCCTCCTCTCCTTACCATCCTTATCATCTGGCTCTCTCTGTTCACGGACTTTGGACTTCCGGACTTCCGATCTTGCCTCATCTGTTGCGACCACTGCCGCCCACCGCTGCCCCAGGGACGCTACCTCAGCCACTCCAGACTTTTGGCCCCCTTTTTCCATGCTGTCTTGGGAGGGAGGATGAGTATATATCACTGCTGGTTTGCCATCTACTCGAATTTTATGTCTCCGCCTTACGAATTTTATGATCCCACTTGTGCAATATTAATCCCAATATCTGCACAAACTTTTCTGTATGTGGAGTGTGTGTGTATGCTTCTAATTGAATTATCCCACGTTTTTAAATTAGCTTAATTTTATTCTTTTTACTGTATTATTGTATGTTTTAACTCTATAGTGGGGTACGTATGTGGAGAATGCCTGGCCGGTAAGTATGAGGGGACTGAGAGTGTGGCCTGGAGCCCCCTCCACTGAGTGCAGAAGGAGAAGTGGATGGGGGCCTGGATCCGCCTCTCATCCCAGAGTGTTTGGTATGAATGGCCTGCCGAGAAGAACGGGGGCCTTGGGAGGGAGGGAAGAGTCTACGGGGATGGGGATGGGCCGGAGCATCGTGGTTACGACTGGGAGGGGCAGGTATGATGGGAGCTACAGGGCTAGCCATTACCGGGGAAGGAGGGTTCGCTACGTCACAGCGATCCCTTGTTCCGGCCCTGAAAGCTCAACTCTAGGACCAGGTGACATGGGAAGTCAGGGCCCTGGTCTCAGGTTGCTGTTGCTAAATGCCAGATCTGTGATTCATAAAGCTCCCCTTGTCCGGGACTTACTATTAGACGAGGGGGCAGACCTGGTATGTATTACCAAAACCTGGCTGGGCCACGAGGGAGGAGTCCCCCTCTCAGAAATGTGCCCAGAAGGGTTTCAGGTGCTCCACCAACCATGACACCAGTAAAGGGGTGGGGAGTGGCAGTTATTATCCGGGAGTCATTAGCTCCTCGCAGGATCCCTGCTCCAGAGACTGTCGGGTGTGAGTCCCTCCTTGTGAAGTTATACCTAGGGGGTCAAGTGGGCTTGTTTTTGACATGCCTACCTCCCAGCTGTGTCTCAACAGCCCTGCCAGTGCTCCTAGAGTCAGTAGCTGGACTGGCGGTTGAGTTCCCCAGACTTATAGTACTGGGGGATTTCAACCTGCCATCTCTTGGCGAATGCTCCAATGGGGCCCAGGAGTTCATGGCCTCCATGACAACCATGGACTTGACACAGGTAATTCAGGGTCCGACTCATGTGGCCGGACACACACTCGACCTTGTGTTTCTCTCGGGGCAGTGGAGACGTGATCTGGAACTAAAGGGGATAGAGATCTCGCCCTTGTCATGGTCAGATCACTTCCTGCTGTGGCTTGATTTTCAGAAGCCACTCCCCCACTGCAGGGAGGTGGAGCCGATTAAATGGTTCCACCCCAGGCGCCTGATGGACCCATTGGGATTTCAGACGGAGCTTGGGGAGATACTTGACTCCCTTGCCCACAACCAGACTGAGTCCTTGGTCGCTGCCTGGAATACAGCAATGGCTGAGGCATTAGATCGGATTGCGCCTTTGCGGCCTCTCCGTGGCAGTGGATCCAGGAGAGCACCTTGGTTTACCGAGGAACTCCGGGAGATGAAGCGCCAAAAGAGACGCCTAGAGCGACGCTGGAGGGCTAGTAACTCCGAATCTGACCGAACACTACTAAGAGCCTTTATTAGGACTTATTTAGTGGCGATACGGGTGGCAAAATGTACCCATTTTTCCACTCTTATTGCGTTTTCCACTCTTATTCCACTCCCAGCGTCCAATAAGATCTCACAGGATGGGCCTTCTCCGGGTGCTGTCGACTAGACAATGTCGTCTGGTGGCTCCTCGGGGGAAGGCCTTCTCTGTAGCTGCCCCGGCCCTATGGAACAATCTACCCCCAGAGATCCGGACCCTCCCCACTCTCTTGGCCTTCTGAAAGTCTACTAAGACCTGGCTATTCTGGCAGGCCTGGGGCTGTTGACCATTGATTGAGTTCCAGCCCCACTAAGGTTGAGTGCATGTTGTATCCTTTTAACTTGCTCTGTCTTTGTATTTAAATTTTTTTAGTATTTTTAAAACTGTTTTATGTAAGCTGCCCGGACTCCTTCAGGATTGGGCGGCATACAAATTCATTAAATCTTAAATCTTACATACTTAAAGGAATTGTATGGCCTTATACTACAAAATACTTATGAGGAAGGTAGAAATCAAATATATTCCTTGCAGAAATCAACAGTTCACTGCTGTGGGTTCTAACCTAGCCTAAGGTAGGGAAAATTGGTATTTTTACACTAGAGAAATGATGGAGCAGACATTAAAACTGGTCAGCATTCATATATAAGACCTTTTAATTGGATTCTGAAAGTAGAATGAAGATGTATATCTTACAGGGAGCTTCACAAAACTGTATTATATGTTTCATTATACATAATTTCTACTGAAATTAATAGTGCTTAAGCTATATTATCATGAATTAAATATGATAAATGTAATCAATATGGACAGCCATTTGCCACAGTTGTTAAGCAAATCACTGCAGTTGTTAAGTGAATTGTGTGAGTCATTAAGTGAATCTGGTTTTCCCCCATTCATGTTGCTTTTGTAGGCTATCTGGGAAAGTTACAAATGGTGATCACATGACGTAGAGACAATGCAATTGTCATAAAAACCTGTCAGTTGCCAACCACCTGAATTTTGATCATGTCACCATGGGGATGCTGCAAGGTTCATAACTGTGAAAACCAATCATAAGTCACTTCAGTGGGATTGTAACCTTGAATGGTCACTAAACAAATGGTTTTCAAGAACTGTCGGTGCTAAGACCACAGACAAATGACAATTATTTAAATAAATAATAATCCATAGCCTATTTAATACTAGGCTTTCAGGGGTTGCATCTTACTTCTCTGGTTCACAAAACTGATTTTGTGTAATAATATGTAACAAAGGTGATAATAAATACAACAAATAGTTCATGAAATTCTTTGTTATTTTTCTTGTTGCACATTAAAACTGTCACTTGAATGTGTGAAACAACTCTTTCAGCTGAACTGTAACTGCAGGAGCTGTCGGATTTAAATTGGCTGTTAAAGCCTGAAAGTCATAGTTGGCTTTGACTGACATGCTACAAATTATATTCCAAAGAAGTCTGCAAGGGGATGCCAAAAATAAAATTGATATAATTTACAGTTCAATATTGATAAATATAAATACCATTGCTATAATTATTTTCTATATATTTAATATTTTTCTTCAATCACATTCAAACTATATGGGAACAATTTCTGATAAAGGTCCTGGAACAGTTTTTAAGTCTTTGAGAGCTAAAGAATATGCATGCCTATTCTAAAAAAGTGCAGGATTTCCTTTTCGTTGCAAGACATAAAGTGTGGGGAAAATGTGAAGTATGCTCAATGCATATTTGACACAGTCCAAACTGTGCTCCTTTTCAAAATTGCACCTATATTAGTCTGAAATATGTTACAGTACTTGTATCTTTGGCTAGAGGCAGGAAACCAATAGAAAGATCAAGGGCTGGTGTGTGGCTCGTGTGTGTGTGTGTGTGTGTGTGTGTGTGTGTGTTTTATAGGCTATTTACTGTACCTTTATTTAGAAGTATTCCTGCTGGGAACTATCTATGCACATTTATTCACTGCCAATTATGGTGCCAGACGCAGACGCTTTTCATAACATATAATCATGTGTACTATTACATAGCCAATATCATATTGTATTGATTATTAATTACATCAGTTCGTCTTGCCATCAACTCCNACTAGAACTCACCGTCTCCTGGTGATTGGCCCAAAGTCACCCAACTTGCTTTCTTGCCCCAGGCAGGACTAGAACTCACATTTCCCCTTCTTTCAAAGCCAGCACCTGAACCAAATTGGCTCTTGTAGCTAGGAAAGCTGGCTCGTCCCTGGCCAAGATAGTTCCATCATCTCTTTATTTTCAAAAAAACGATACTGTTAAATCTCACTCTGGGCACGAATGAGAATGTATCTGCTGAAACATACCTCCGCATTGGTGACAGGAAGGGCATCCGGCCAGTACTCAGCTCCATTCAGTCGCCCCAAACGCCACCAATGCAAGGGATTACATTACGTCTTTAAAAGTAGATGATACTGTTAAATCTTACTGTGTGTGTGTTGTTTTTTTTTAATGTGTGCGTTCTCAGCTCCGATGGTCACAGAAGAAACAACTCTTGAGCTGGAAGATATTATCAAGAGAAGGATAAAAGATCAGGTGAGTAAAAACTATTAGTCTTTCTCTCATTCAAGCTGCTTGAGAGAGGAACCTGCCCATTTGGCCACCCTTGCTGCTCCGTGACGCTGGTTTGCTGTTCTCCATGTTGTCTGGATTGTGGGTGTCCTTCCTTGAAGGCGGTACAGAAGATTGTTTTCCCATTTTCTAAGAACCCTTAAGAGTCTGTTGCTATGGAAAATAAAAACACATTTTAACGGAAGAGTCTGTTGCTGCGGAATTTTTCTAAGGAAGCAATCTGGCGTTTCAGCGTTAAAAGGTTGATAAGTTTTCATTGCTCTGGCATGCCTTTTTTTTAAAAAAAAAATTCCAATTCTTTACCTTGTACAGATTTGTGTTCTTAACTCCTGCAATTTTGTCAAGCTAATTTTATGGCTTATTACAGAGAAAGAATTGCATGAAGGCGAAACTTAATCCAGAGGGAGGTGTTCATTGCTATCTGCGGCAAGCATTGCTCTGGAGTTTCTTTTAAGACACACACACACACACAAGAAACACCCCCCCATGTTAACATTTTGTGTCCTAGGCTTGGGATGATGTCGTCCGTAAAGAAAAACCGAAAGAAAATCCATTTGAGTATAAGAAGCGTTTGACTCTGGATCAGGAGAAGAGCAAATTGAGCCTGGCTGAAATTTACGAGCAGGAATATTTGAAACTGAATCAGGTGTGTTATCGTCGCGTTACTGAAATTTAGGCTTACCCCTCTTTTTGCTTATTTCCACCGGACGACCCAGGAATTGGTGGTTGTGCGAATTCAGTAGGGGAAAAAAAAAAGAATTGCAAGCCAATTGCTAATTCTTAAGTGGACTTAACTGACTTGCTTTTTGTTTTCTTATTCTGCTTGAATTATGTGTTAGGACTGGACAAGGTTACAAATATGATGGTTAGAAATAAAGTTTGGGTTTTTAAGAATAAAACAATGTGGAGATATCCTACATTTTTGGGAAATACTTCTGCAGCGCCCAAGTGTATCCTGGGTTGATACAGATTAAAACGTTTCTCAGACCCTGTTTTATGCCCACGTATTCAATTTCTTGGCATTCAGCAGTAAAATACAACAAATCATTTTATAATAGAATATAGCAATAGCAATAGCAGTTAGACTTATATACCGCTTCATAGGGCTTGCAGCCCTCTCTAAGCGGTTTACAGAGTCAGCATATTGCCCCCAACA